GGGAGTACAGGGCTGGTGAGGCTTTACTGGTGTGGGTTTGTGTTACTGGTGAGGGCTTTACTGGTGTGGGTTTGTGTCACTGGTGTGGGTTTGTGTCACTGATGTGGGTTGGTGTCACTGGTGTGGGTTTGCGTCACTGGTGTGGGTTTGTGTTACTGGTGTGGGTTTGTGTTACTGGTGAGGACTTTACTGGTGTGGGTTTGTGTCACTGGTGTGGGTTTGTTCCACTGGTGTGGGTTTGTGTCACTGGTGTGGGTTTGTTCCACTGGTGTGGGTTTGTTCCACTGGTGTGGGTTGGTGTCACTGGTGTGGGTTGGTGTCACTGGTGTGGGTTTGTGTCACTGGTGTGGGTTGGTGTCACTGGTGTGGGTTGGTGTCACTGGTGTGGGTTTGTTCCACTGGGATCACTTGGCAGCCCAGTCCCTTGGTCAAGGTGAGCCACCTCCAGCACCACCATTAATGGCTTGGACAGGAGAAATCCCACCCAACTCGGATTCTGCTGGGATCTGGCCTGGCTGGAGCAACATTTCCCTGGGAAACCTGGAGAAGAGGAAGAGGAAGAGCAGCTCCCCCCGGCTGTGCCAGGCGTGGCACAGCGCTGCCCTCGTGCCCGTCGGGGCGAAGCCTGGGAAGGGACACACCACGAGCAGCCCCATTCCCATCTCTTCTCCCTCACAAAACCCCAAACTGGCCCACTTCACGGCCCAGCATCCCAGAGCTAGATTGAAGCAATCCCTTGGCCACCGAAAGCGTTTCCTCCCGCCGTGGCTCAGAGGCCGCGACAGCGCTCGCCTCGGCGCGCCTTTCTGGGCTGTTTTCATCCACATGGAACCACCTTTAATTCCTTTTCCCACACCAGAGGGTCCCTTTGCAGCTCCGAGGGGTCGGCGGCAGGAGATGCCCCAGGAGGGGAAGTTCCTCCTCCGGCGTCGCTCCCAAGCTGCGATCATCCAGAGCAGGAGTTGCGTTCTTCTCTGTTTCAGCAGCTTTTTTTTGCAGCACAGGGACCAGTGGTGCTTGGGCAGGGTGATGAATCCCATCCTGGAGCGCTCCCGGGCTCTGAGGATGGAGCTAATTCAGGAGCAGGGTCCTGGGGTTGTGGCTCCAGGCTTTGGGGAGCCCCTTAATTAAATCCTGGCCTGGTTTTGAGGTGGTTGTAAACCCAGCCCTGGTCCTTCCCAGTGAGAACACCAACTTTGCTCCATGGTTGTCACATCTGGGTCTTGCTGGCGATGGCAGCGATGCAGAACTGGCCAAGCCCCGTGGCTTGAGGGGCCTTTTTGCCTTTAAAAATGTTGGTTTTGGCTGAAGGAGCTGCCTGGGAGCCCGGGGTGTGTTTATTGCTGCTGTTGTCACTCCCACCAGGGCTGTGGGATTTGCTGGTGGCATCTGGTGGCCGATGACACCGTGACACAGGGTAGACCCCCCAGTCCTGCTGCCCTGGAGCAGAGCAGGGTCTGCAAACCAAAATCCCAAATCCTTGCCGGGTCCATCCCAGCGGCTGTGTTCCCCAAACTGCGCTGGGAGAACAGGGAATGCTCCCAGCAAGGTGCTGGGGTGGATTTTTTTGGTTTTCCCTGGGATTTTCCCTTTGCTGCCTTCCCAACTCTGCGTCCTGGTGCAGCACAGGGGGACACCAAGGGCAGCCCAAACCTCGGGTGTGAACCACAGCACCTCCACCACTGCAGGAACACCCATCCCGTCCTCCCCAGAGGCTGGCCTCTCATTTAGCAGGGCAGCTGCTGTCTTCATTAAGTGGTGTTGGCTAATTAAAAGCACATTTTTGAGGCTTAGCAGCTCCTCAGAGCCGTCTGGGAGGGATGTGCCAGCGCTGGGGGAGGACACAGGAGGAGCAAAGCTCTGAGCTGGGCTGGGCACCCTGAACTGGGGCAAAACCCCACCTGTGTGGTGTCCAAGAGAAGTTCAGGGAGGGAAAAGGAGAGGCTGGAGGGATCCGGGCAGGGTTTGGGGGGTGTGAGCCCTCTGAGCATGGACAGAGCTGTGTCCTGGCAGAGCATGGCTCGTGGTGGGATCTCCCTGGCAGAGGAGGGATGGGGAGGAGAGGGGGGTCTGGCCCCCACCTGTCTCCAGGAGCAGGTCATGGAATCAGGGAATGGTTTGGGTTGGAAAGGACCTTGGGCAGGGACACCTCCCACCCTCCCAGGTTGTTCCAAGCCCTGGCCTTGGACCCTTCCAGGGATGGGGCAGCCCCGGCTGCTTGGGCAGTGAATTTGGGGATGGTTGGTGTTTTCTGTGCCTGACCACCAGCACGGGAGCAGCAGCAGGACCAGCTGCCAGCCCCATTCCCACGGGCAGTGACGGAGAAATGCCCCAATCCACGTTTTGCTGGAGTTCTTTGGCCCTGCCGTGATCTTCCAACAGCATTTTCCTGAATTTCTTGCTGCTCTGAGCAGCCTCTGGTCTGGCAAAGGTGGAAAATGGGCCTGCAAAGGTGCAGATTGTCCCTGGCTGTGTCACCCGCCCCTCCCCTGGCTGCTGGTGGCAGGGCAGGATTTGGGTGGCCGTGCTCCGGTTGTAATCGGTGTTTTTATGGCAGCAGGAGAAACCATCCCAGCCTTTCCCCCGCAGCTCAGCTGGGTCTGAGCTGGAGCCACGGGCGAGGCCAGCGGGGTGGGAAGGGCACAGAGGCCGCAGCTCTGCCCCCAGGGTGGGAGCAGAGGGAAAACTTTGCTTTTTAGGAAACCACGTGGAAAACCCCTCATCCCCGAGGGATCCCAGCAGCTTTTCCCTGCGGTGACAGCGAGCTCAGGCACGTGTCCATCTCGCTGCCCTTTGGGGACCCTCCAGCCCTTCCCACCGCCTCCAGCCCCACTTCCCGCAGGCATCTCTCACTTCTGGAGCCCCTCTGGCTGGAATCCCCGTTCCCAGCTCGCTGCCGCTGCCGTCCCGGGCGGAATTCCTGCTCCGCTCGCTCTGCAGCAGCGCTAAGTGCTTCAATGTGTTGGCAGTTGCTGGAGTCGGACAGCAAATCCTAAATGGGATCCCAGTCCCTGCTGCGGCCAAAACCCGCGGCGGGGCTTTAGCGCAAATTGGATTTCAGAGCTCGCTGGGGCTCGGTGCCCTCGGCAGAGCGCTCTAATCCCCGGGACGAGCCGCCTCCTCCTGGGCAGCCGGGAACCCGGGAGGGGAGAGGGGAGCACGGGGGGGATTCCCGGCTCGGCGTCGGCATCACCTGCGCTGCCTGCTCGGGAGGGATGCGGGGATGCGGGGGGATGCGGGGATGCGGGGATGCGGCTCCCCCAGCGCATCCCGCGGGAGCGCTGGCTCAGGGCAGGGCTGAGATTGGGGATTATTCAGGTGGGAGCTGAAGGGATCGGGCCAGCACACCTGGGCCACGTGGAAAAGGCAGAGGTGGAACCCTGGGAAAATCGGGAATTAATACCTGGAGTCCTTCAAGGTGTTTTTCCAAGGGGGAAACTGAGGCACCGTGACCCCTCCCAAGGGATTTGGGGAATCCACAACGGAGGAAACCCTCCAAAACAGGGAAGGGGAAAGTGGCCAAGCTGTGCTGTGGGGGGTGACCCTGTGGTGGCAGCCCTGCTTCCTCCGGCCCATTTCCCCCTCCTTGATCCCACCGAGGGCTTTTCCTTTCTTGGGAAAAAGGAGATTTTTGCCCCCAGCGCAGCCGTGGCAGCTCTCAGATACCAGCGGTGTCGAAACGGGCCCAGAGCAAAGCACATCTGGGGCCTGGGCTCCGTCTCGCTGCCAAAATTTAAGCTTTTAACCCTCTTTCCCCAGGCACTGGGATTGTTCAAACAAGCCACAGTAATTAGTTTCCTCTGACAAACCGCCCCTTTTTGGCATCGGGAGGTTTATTAATTCCGGGCAGGGGGGAGCGTCGCTTCGGATCCAAAAATAATTGACATTCAGAGTCCAGGTTTTGGCACGAGAGGGAAAATTTGGGCTGGAAAAGCAGCATGAGGCGTGCAGGAGATTGGCACGGCAGCACCCAAAGGCGCCCAGCAGTGGGTGGGGGGTCCTTGGCTGGTGTTATCCCTGATTTCCTCCGTGGCCACATCAACCATTCTGGTTTTGGTGGGATTTCAAGCGACATAATTTGATTTTCTCTGCCCTTTGGCAAAAGGGATCTGTCTGCAGGGAGTTTTCCTGCAGATATCCCCACTCAGTTTAGGTGTTATTCACCTCCAGCCACGCTCTGCTCCTGCTGCAGCCCTGGGCAGCACCCCGAGGGATTTTATCAGTAATTAATCTCTGATTACTCACCTCTTCCCGTGAAGGGCGGCTCTTGCTGCTGCTTAGACCTGACGGAATCGGCTTAGGGAGGGTTTGGGCTGCTGCAGCCGTGGTGACCTTGGCGGGGCTGTGACACCTTGTGGGGTCAGTGGGGACACTGGGCTGGGAGCTCAAACTGGGAGCACAAACTGGGAGCACACCACCCAAGCCCACCCCAAAATGACTTTTAAATTCTCTGTCTGCTTTTTAGCTGGAAAGGGAATAAATATCCCTGAAAATGCGCAGGGTTTAATGGTGTTTGTCACAGCCGGGGGGTGTCGGGGGGCAGATCTCGGCCAGGTGTCCCCCCAGGCCCTGCACAGACACCCCCAGGTGTCCCCGAGCCGGGCTGGGTGACACTGCGGGGAGCTGTGCTGCATCAAACCAGCTTTTCTCTCCTGCTGATTTATATTGCAGCTGCATTCCCAGCCCCCGGCGTGTCCCGGCGAGTGCCGGCTGCGGGGGAACCCAGGGAAGCCGAGGCTGGAGGGCAAGCAGCATCATTATCTGCCCCTGCAGGGACGAGCCGAGCCCAGCCGGGGCTGAACTGGGACTGAACTGGGACTGAACTGGGACTGAACTGGTCCCAGACTGGTCCCAGACTGGTCCCAGCAGGGGGACGCGGCGGAGATCCCCGCTGCGGATCCCGTTAATTAATGAGATGAAAGCCCACGCGAGACCTCCGGGGAAGGAATCAAAGGCTCCGCCGCAGCTTCCCCGGGCATGGATCCACCCCTGCGGGCCCGCAGCTCCCCCGCAGCCCCGCGCCGTGGCGGATGGAGGGGACGGGGCTGCGGGACACGGTGAGCAGGGTCAGCACCGCCCCGGGGTCTGCCCCGAGGCTCCCGAGCACAAATCCAGCCCCGAAATGGCTCTGGGTGGAGCTCCTGGGGGTGGGGAGAGGCAGGGGGGTCGTGGCCGCGGGGTCTCTGGTTTGGGGCCACCGGAGCTGGGCTCCTGCCGGGATTTCCATCCCGGGGGATTTGCCGGTGCAACCCGGCTCGGCTCGGGCACAGGACGCTGTCCCTGCCATGCAGGGATGGCTCAAGGTGCCCCTTGGCCCTGGCACAAATTGGGATTTTCCTCCCTCGTGCTGCTTTCCCTCCTGGAAGAGCTCCCGGCCCCCTCTCTGGTGGGATTTGTGCTGTTCCCCTTGGCACTGTAGGGTTTGGGGATTTGGGACGGGGCATCTCCTCAGTGCTGGGGGGCTCTGGGGGTCCTGCGCCTGCTCGTTCCCAAAGATGGTGCCCTTTGGTGTCAGGGATGAGGATATGGATGGTCAGTGTCCCCAAGGCCCTGCCTCGTCCTGGTGCCTGCTCCTCTGAGCTGGTTTGGCTCTGCCAAATCCAAAATGAGGGAACATTTCAAACCGGGTTGGGTGGGACTTGGAACAGCCTGGGATAAAGGAAAGTGTGGAAGGTGTGGAAGATGGTGTGGAAAGTGTGGAAGGTGTGGAAGATGTAGAAGGCATGGAAAGTGTGGAAGGTGTGGAAGGGGTGGAAGGAGTGGAAGATGGTGTGGAAATGTGGAAGATGTGGAAGGTGTAGAAGGTGTAGAAGGTGTGGAAGGTGTGGAAGGTGTGGAAGGTGTGGAAATGTGGAAGATGTGGAAGGTGTAGAAGGTGTAGAAGGTGTGGAAGGTGTGGAAGGTGTGGAAGGTGTCCCTGCCCGAGGCAGGGGTGCCACTGGATGGGCTTTCAGGTCCCTCACAACCCAAACCAAGCTGGGACTCTGTGATTCTATGGAATGGGGGGGATTTGGATGTGGCCACAGCAAGAGCTGCTCGGTTGGGTGGAAGCTCCCCAGGCTTCCTTCTCCAGCCAGGACTTGGCCACCACCCCCGGCAGCGCTCCCAGCACCACGGGGTGTCCTGGCCGACCCATCCCCATCCCACAGGCTCGGTGGGGGAGGCTTTTCCTTATTATTTCCACCGTGTTGAGGGTGGGTTTGCTGCTCTCCAGCTGTTTGGGGAGATGTCAACCAAACCCGCCGTAATTCAGCCCGAACGTAAATGTCATGGCAGCGTGGGAACGAGGGCGCTTGGCGTGTTCAGCCCGGGGCTCTGGGAGTGCTGAGCTCCTCCTGCCCCACACCATCCCACCTCCTCACCCCCATCCCACCTCCTTACCCCCATCCCATCTCCCTACTCCCATCCCACCTCCCTATCCCCATCCCATTTTCCTCTCCACCATCCCACCTCCCTCTTCTCCACCCTATCTCCTCCTCCACCATCCCACCTCCTTCTCCACCATCTGATGTCCCTCTCATTTCCCTCTCCCCAGCCCATCTCCCTCTCCCCAGCCCATCTCCCTCTCCCCACCCCATCTCCCTCTCCCCAGCCCACCTCCTCTCCCTCCCGTGGGCCCAGCCCCAGTTCCCCCGCCGGGGTCACCCTTCCCCCCGAGCTCTCCCGGAGCAGCAGGGCTGCGTTGCGGGGCTGAGGCTGTGCCTGGTTTGTGGTCGGCCCTCGGGGGGCTCCGGGAGGGAGCTCCGGAGCTGCCGGGCTGGATTTCACGGCGGAAAGCAGAACCATGTGTGCCACACTCCGCCCTGCCCTGCTCGGGGGAGCGGGAAGGGCTGCGGGAGGAGGAGGAGGAGGAGAGGGATGAGCTGAGGATGCCTCGTGGCCACCAGCAGGGTCAGGATCCAGAGCTCAGGCTGTGCCAGCGCCGGGCTGGCAGCGCTGCCAGCCGGGGTGAGGCGTCCCCTGTCCCCTGCCAAGGAGGGGGTGGCACTCCCTGTCCCCAGAGCAGAGCTGGGGATGGGGACAGCGACATTTCCCCTCCTTTGTGCACCTTCCTGCTGTCAGAAGAGCAGGAAAATCCAACAGGTCCGCCCAGATCAGTTTGGGGCTTTTCTTCCCTTTCAATTCTCCCTGTTTTGGGGCCAGTTTTGGCATTTTGAGGCCAGTTTGGTCCAGGGGCACTGCAGGCTCCAGTCCTGCCCTGGCCAGGAGTGTTGGACACCCCGGTGCTTTTGGGGGAGCTCCAATCCCCATGAAAGTATTTTGGGAGCTTGTGGGAAGTTTTGGGGAAGGTCTGGTGCAATTTTGGCATGGTCTGAAGAAGTTTTGGGGAAAATTTGGAGGAGTTTTGGGGACAACCTGAAGAAGTTTTGGGGAAAATCTGAAGGATTTTTGGGGAAAATCTGAAGAAGTTTTTGGGGAAAATCTGAGGGAGTTTTTCTTATGGTCTGAGGGAGTTTTGGGGAAAATCTGAGGCAGTTTTGGAGAAGACCTGAGGCAGTCTTGGGAACAGTCTGTCCCTCCACCACGCTCATCCTCTGCAGGACAGCCCAGCCCCATCCTGCGAGCCGGAGCTGCTGCTGGAGGAGCAGCCCCTGGAGCTGCTGCCCATGGAAATTGTTTAATTCCTGCGGGATGAGTCATGAGGAGCCGGGATTTCAAAGCAGCTTGGCTCCCATGTAAGGCACTCAAATAAACAGCGTGTGGCAGGTGGAAGCTCTCTCTGATGTCCCATCAAGGCCTCTGTCTTTCCAAGTGCTTTGTGTTGCCAAAAATCCTTCGGCCACACCGTGGCTTCATCCATTCTTGAGGCTGGGCTCTGGAAAATAATGAATCAATGCCCGGAAACATGAATCGACGGAAAATTTATGGCACACTTAGAATATAATGTCTTTTGGGTCCTCTGCTTTGAAGCATCAGCGCTGAAAGTTTTGGCGTCTCCTTCTTTCAACCCTTCAGCAAGGAGGATTTAGGCGGGGGGGGAAAAAAATCGCTTTTCTCCCTCACCTCATGATTCTGTGAGCTTTAAGGAGTCCGTGGATGTCGGAGACAAATCCCAAGAGTCTGCTGGAAAAACTGGGAGTGGGGTTGAAAAACAAGAGCGACGGGAAGAAGTGAGAGTGTGAAAAATGAGGGACACCAGAGAACCCCAAACGCTCCACTTTTTGTGGGCAAAAAAACGCCTGTGGGGACGGAGTTGCTGGATTTTGATTTATCAGGAAAAACAAGTGGAAACACCGTCATCCCTGGAAGTGTCCAAGGCCAGGTTGGACAGGGCTGCTCTGGGGCTTTTCAGAGCAAAAGAAACCAAGGGCAAAGCCTGGAATAACTTTGTTGTTATTGTTTTGCACTTTGGAGCTGGGCTTTGAGTCTTTTGAAAGGTCACAGGCGAGTGGGTGGGGGCCAGGATTTCTGGCTGCCGGAATGGGAGGCTGTTTTATGGGACGTGCAGCGAGGCTGGAACTGCTCTCCTAAAATTTAATGGGCCTGCAAGAAGCCAGAGGCCCTTTCCCAGGTGGGGGGATCGAGTGTCACAGCCCTGCTCTGGCCCAGCCTTTTCCTCCCCGGGCAGGACAAAGGGGGCTGAGCCCCCCTGGGTGATGGGGGCTCAGCTCAGTGTGATCCCACTGCTCGTGGAATTCATCTCCCAAAATACCCAACATCAGCTGCTAAAAGCTGTTTGTCCTCCTGGAGAGCAGAACAAAGCGTCCTTTCCCTCCCAAACCCTCCCCTGGAGCTGCTGGTTCTTCACAAATCCTTCATTTCCACCGATTTTGCCCAGGAGCAAATTGGGTTTTTTGGTCCTGCACCACTGAACACCGACCCTGCTGCCTTGCTGGAAGGGTTGGGGTGCCAGGGAATTTTCAGTGCCTGCTCCCTGCTCCTGCTCTTGTTTCCAGGGTGAAATCTGAGCTGAAGGCACCTGATTGTCATGGAATTCCAGACTGGGAAGTTAAATATCCGTGGGCAGGGACAGTTTCCACTGTCCCGGGCTGCTCCAAGCCCCATCCAGGCTGGCCTTGGGCACTGCCAGGGATCCAGGGCAGCCCCAGCTGCTCTGGGAAATTCATCAGGGCTTCCCCACCCTCCCAGGCAGGAATTCCATCCCAACATCCCCCCCACCCCTGCCCTGTGGCATGGGAAGCCATTCCCCATGTCCCATCACCATTCCCAGTGTCGGGATGGTGAACACACCTGGCCCTCTCCATCATCCACCACCTTCCTGAGTCATCCTTGATCATCCTCCTCCATCTTCCTCCATCATCCTCCATCATCATCCATCCTCTTCCATCATCCTCCTTCATCCCAGAGCATCCTCCTCCATCTTCCTCCATCCTCCATCATCTTCCATCATCTTCCTCCATTCTCCATCCTCCTCCATCCTCCTCCATCATCTTCCATCCTCCATCCTCTACCTTCCTCCATCCTCCTCCATTGTCCTCCATCTTCCTTCATCATCCTCCACCTTCCTCCATCCTCCTCCATCCTCCTCCTCCTCCATCCCAGAGCATCCTCCATCCTCCTCCATCACTCTCCTCCAGCTCTCCCTTGGCTTGATGGGATGAGTCCTGCTAGCAGACAGGGCTGGCACCACGCCCTCCAGTGCTCCCAGTGCTCTCCCAGTGCTCCCAGTGCTCCCATTCCCGGTGTCCAGGCCTCTCCAGCCCCGCTGGTTTTCCATCCCCTTCCCTCCTTATAAGGCCAAACGATTCTTTTTCCATCTTGGCATTGTTTATACCCCCTTGAAAATATTTAGGCTCTGGCTGGGTCCTGCAAAGATCCTGTAACCCCCAGGGCATCTCGTTCCTGATGGGACAGGGGATTATCTGCATCCCGTAAAATCGGGGGATGTGGTGAGGAGGGGAGGTCACAGCCCTGCATGGTGTTTTCTACAATAAAAATAAAATCAAACCTGTCAAATTCCAATTTAAAATAAACATTGCCCCCATTGGTAAATAAATATTTACCACAGTAAATTCTATGTGGTTAATATTATGAAATTAAGGTTGGGTTTTTCCTTTTCTCGGTTTTTTTGACCTTTTTTGTTTTGTTTTGTTTTGTTTGTTTTTTGTTTTGTTTGTTTTTTGTTTTGTTTTGGTTTTTTGTTTTTTTTTGTTTGTTTTTTTTTTGGGGTTTTTTTTTGGGTTTTTTTTGTTTGTTTGTTTTTTGTTTTTTAGTGTTTTTTTTCCTTTTCTTTTTTTTTTAATACCCCCCCGGAAAATTTATTTAAAAAGGAAAAAATATTTGATGTGTGCAAGGAGCTGAAATAAATACAGGAACCAGGAGGTGGAAGGACAGGGACATCCAAGCCATCAGAGCCAGGGGTTCCTCCTGCTGCCACCTCATCCCCATGGCTGCTGCCGTGTCCCCATGGCTGCCACCTCGTCCCCAGTGCCACCGCCAGCCCCAAGCCCCACACCAGTGTCCCAGCCCAGCCCATCGTGCCTCAGTTTCCCCATCTCAGCCCGTGCTGGAGCCAAGGGGATCCCAGGGGAAGGATCCCCACCCCAGGCTCAGGGAGGGAGGGAGGAGGGAGGAAGGGGCTGCGGGGCTCGGGGCGCGCCTTAAGGATGTTTGTTTTGCCTGTTTTGCAGAGCTTCAATGTTCTGACTTGCTCTAAGATGAAGGTATGGAAGCGTGCAGCCATTGCATCGATGCTCCTCAGTTCCGTGTTATCCATTTTAGTTTGTAGAGACATGTTCAGCGGAAGCCGGGAATTCAGCCCCTTGCCTTCCTCGCCGTCTTCCTCACGGGATTCCTCCTCCTCCTCCTCTTCTTCCTCCTCCTCCTCCTCCTCCTCCTCCTCCTCGCTGCCGGCGGCTCCGCGGAGATCCCCACGGGCCCTGCAACGCCACGGCTCTCTGCTGGCCCAGTGTAAGCTCCTGCTCCTCATCCCGGGGTCATCGTCCTCCTCCCGGCCCCACAGATCCCCCAAACCCCTGTGGGGTCATTCCCTGCACCCAAACATCCCCTTCAGGAGGGTTAAACAAGAACTTGGGGCGAGCAGGAGGCACCAAACTTTGGTGTGAACACAGCAGCTCTCCACAGAGGGGAACTCAAACAGCTCAGTTCCTGCAAAGAAGCTGCTTTTATTCCCTTCCAAATGGCTCTTTTTGGTAATTTTTTTTTTTTTTTTTTTTTGTTCCGTGCTATTTTTTACAAATGGAAAATGTCAAACAGGAGCTGAGGATGAGGGCACGGCAGCAGCTTCCCCTGCTCACCCCTCGGTGCTCCCTCAGGGCTGGAAATCCCCACGTGTTTGTTTTGATTCCAAACCAGAGGAACTGCTTTTTTTGGGTGGAAATTTGGAAATCGATGACAAGCTGTCAAACCACGCTTTCCTCTGTCTTTCCTGTGCCTCCTGCGGAGCTGAGCTGGAATAACCCTGGGTTTAGGGCTGGCACGAAGGGATGTGGGTGTTGCCAGCAGTAGCTGGGCACAGTTTGGGTCTTGGCTGCTGGCCCTGGGGTCTCAGGGGCAGCCCCCGGGGTCTTGGGCCTCCCAGACCACAATGAAACGGTGCAAATAAGAAATTTTTTGAGGCTTCTCCCCAAATCCACCTGCCCTGAGGGACGTCCATCTTAGGGGATATTCACCCACTCCAGGGAATTTTCATTCTGGGGAATGTCCTCCCACCTCAGGAAATTTCCATCCTGGGGATCATCCATCCACCCTAAGGCACCTCCATCCTGGAGGATCCTGAGGTTCTTATCCACGGAGGATCTCCCATCTCAGGTGACCTCCTCCATCCAGGTGGATGTTAGGCCACCCTGGGAATCTCCATCCTGGGAGTCATGCACCCCAAGGAACCTTCTTCCTGGCGGATGTAACTTACCACCCCAGGGAATCTCCATCCTGAGGTTATCCACCCACCTCAAGGCACCTCCACCCTGGGGGATGTCCACCAACTCCAGGGAATTTCCATCCTGAGCTTATTCACCCACCCCAGGGAATTTCCATCCTGGGGATGTCCACCCACCCCAAGGGCGCCTCCATCCTGGGTTATCCACCACCCCAGGCACCTCCTCCTCTTCTTCCTCCTCCTCCTTTTTGGTAATTCCATCCTGGGGATGTCCACCCACCCCAAGGGCGCCTCCATCCTGGGTTATCCACCCACCCCAGGCACCTCCATCCTGAGTTTATCCACCAACTCCATTCAAGCTCCATCATGAGCTTATCCACCCACCCCAGGTGATCTCCATCCTGGGTTATCCACCTACCCCAGGGAATTTTCATCCTGAGTTTATCCACCCACCCGAGGGCACCTCCATCCTGAGCTTATCCACCAACTCCATGCACCTCCATCCTGGGTTATCCACCCACCCGAGGCACCTCCATCCTGGAGGATCCCCCAATTCTCATCCACGGTGGATCTCCCATCTCAGGCCACCCCCACCCACCCCAGTAACCCCCACCCACCCTCGGACCCCCTCTAACCGCGTCCCCTCCTCTTGCAGACAGCGCCTTGCTGGAGAGCTACACGGAGGGCGAGATCCGCCAGCTGATCTCGGCGCTGGTGGAGCGCTACCGCCAGGCCATGAACTCGGGCGGGCACGAGCTGCCGCTGTTCCCGCGCGCCGGCAGCCGCCGCAAACGCGCCCGTGCCCGCCACAAACCCTGCGAGCTGCGCCAGCTGGAGGTCAGCGTCAGCGAGCTGGGCCTGGGCTACGAGTCGGACGAGACCGTCCTGTTCCGCTACTGCAGCGGCACCTGCGAGGCCGCCGTGCGCAGCTACGACCTCTCCCTCAAGAGCATGAGGAGCCGCAGAAAGATCCGGAAGGAGAAGGTGCGGGCGCGGCCATGCTGCAGGCCGCTGGCCTACGACGACGACGTGTCCTTCCTGGACGCCTACAACCGCTACTACACCGTCAACGAGCTGTCGGCCAAGGAGTGCGGCTGCGTGTGACGGGCCCACGCGGGCACAGGGGCCGGCACGGAAGCTGGAGCGGCCGGAGGAGGAGAGACTGAGCCGCTGGCGCGTCCCTCGGTGGCAGGACTAGAGACGTGGCCGCCGCCGCGGCGCAGGCGGTCGGAGCGGTGGCGGCGGCTTGAGGATGTTGTCCCCTCTGCGGGTGGCCTGGCGGTCCCTGCTGAGGTGACAGTGGGTGTGCAGCGTGCACGGGGCGTGTCCAGCCCTCGGCGTGCACTGCGTGTCACATGTGTCACGCGTGTCATGCTACGCTACCTGCAGAGGGGGTGGTGCAGCGCAGGTGTCTCTGGCATGAGGGACGCACATGTGCCAGGGGTTCTGTGTCAGGGTGTGGCACAGGGGTGTGGCACAGGGGTGTGGCATGTGCAGGGGGTGTTGTGAGCAGTGCTGGTGCTGTGTGTGTGGTACTGGACAGGGTGTGCTGCACACCTGGGATGTGTTTTGGGGTGTGCTGCACACTCTGGGTGTGTTTTGGGGTGTGCTGCACACCTGGGATGTGTTTTGGGGTGTGTTGCACACTCTGGGTGTGTTTTGGATGTGCTGCACACTCTGGGTGTGTTTTGGGGTGTGCTGCACACTCCGGGTGTGTTTTGGGGTGTGCTGCACACTCTGGGTGTGTTTTGGGGTGTGTTGCACACTCTGGGTGTGTTTTGGGGTGTGCTGCACACTCTGGGTGTGTTTTGGGGTGTGCTGCACACGCTGGGTGTGTTTTGGAGGTGCTGCACACCTGGGGCATGTTTTAGGGTGTGTTACAGGTTTGGGGTGCATCAGGTGCCCTGTGCTGCCCCAGGGTGGGAGCTGAGTCCTTCTCTCTGTAGCTTTGGGGTTTTGTGACCACCCTGAGCTGCTGGGGGAGGTCCAAGCGCCCCAGATCCCGGTGTCTGGGGACACAGCAATGACAGCAGTGCTTTGCGTGTGGCTCTGACTCCCTCTGCCTTGTGCCCCCTTTGCCATCGTCTCATTCCTGCAGCCCTGGGGCTTTTCTTCTTAAAACTCGGGATAATCTGAAGTAACTGGATTAACCTCCTGTGCCCCTGCCACGGGCAGCTGGGCCAGAGCCCTGCCACCACCAGGGAGGTGACAGAACCTCCCCAGGGCCACCAGCAGAGCCGGCACTCGGCGGCGTGGGCAGGAGCAACCCTGGTTTGGCATCTCCCAAAATCGCCCCGGGAGCATCCCCTGGGCTCTGCTCGGGGCTGGAATCCTGCGGGAGAGGGGACTCAGCCTGGCTGTGGCTCCGCTCGCATTTACAGCAGTGTCACTGCTGTTTACTCTGCGGGGAAATAAATGAGCCCGCAGACTCTCACATTCCCCGGGCAGGCTCGAGCTGTTGCCTGCGATTGATGGGTTTTCTCCCCTTGGCTCCCTTCCCAGAAAAAGCAAATCATAAACAGAAGGAGAATATTGGTGTCATGTCCTGGGCATTAACCAACGTGAGGGAAAACACTCCGTGTGCCACCCCCCGGCGTCCTGGCTCCTCTCTCCGGACAAACAGCGGGAAAAATCCCTCGTGCCTTCATCCCCAGGAGGAGGAGGAGGGCTGCTGTGGTGATCCCAGCTCAGGGATGGTGCTGCAGGATTTTGGGGAAGCATGGATGGCATCCCTTAGGCGGGGAGCAGCATCTCCAGTGTTGGACCAGCCACATTCCCGACCTCCGCACAGGCCCAGGCTGGTGGGGAATTTTTTTCCCTTCCTTTTTATCCAAACGCAGCTCTTGGCTGAGCAGAGCCAGGGTGTAGAGGAGGAATATAAACACCATCCTTCAGCAGGGCTGGCGGCCCGGGAAGGCAGCCTGGACTCTGTAACACGGAGTTTTCCCTGGATTTTGGGAAAGGCAGGAGGCGGCCGCGGGTGCGGGGTGTGAAACTGCACCCGGGAAATGGGAACTGAGAGAGGATAAACTCCACGCTCCAGGTGCAGCTCCCGAAGCAAGGTGTGAGTTTGCAGCCCTGGTTTTGGCTGGAAATGGGAAAAGTGGCCCAAAAGAATCAGCTGGAGGATGGGAATGGCAGGTGGGCAGCGGGAGCTGCGCTGGGCTCGCAGTGGACAAGCGGCTCACTCGAGTTTAAGAAAAAAAAAAGCACCCAAATCTAATAATAATAATGATAATAATAATAACAACTGTTCTCTCAAGGGCTTGGGTGCTTTCCAGGTCTCGCTGCTATAAAACTAAAATTAGTTTTGTTGCAGTAAGACAAAAGGAATGGAAGCAGAGCAGGGAAGGCAGGGGAGGTGGTGTGGAAGCTGTGCAGGGCCTGGCGCTGCAGAGGAGGATCTGGAGCAGGAGCTGCCTCTGCTCAGTGTTTGCACTCTGCTTTGGGATATTTTTTGGCAGAATCCAGGGATTTAGGGTGCCTTGATGGCGGGCACCCAGCCCAAGGGACCCTCCTCTCTCCAGGGTGGTGATGGGAGCAGCAGGAAGACGAGGGGACAAGGGAGCAGCAGTTTGTGCTGGGACATCTCCCAGCTGCCAAAATCCCCCATTCCCAGTGCAGATCCAGCTTGGAGCCCCCAAAACTGAGAGGAAAACCTGACTCAATGCAGTGGTGCGTTAAACCCAGCAGGAATAGCTCCAATCCATCATTTTTTGCTATTTTTTGGGTTTTTTTGTTTTTAATTTCCCCCTGCTGGCAGCTCCAGCCCATGTGGAAGGGATGTTCCCCATCTGTCTCATGCTGCTCCTGCTGGGTTTTTTTTTGGGAACAGCTGAGATTTGCAGCCACAAACTCCCCGATGGGGTGAGCTGGGGAATCGTGGTGTGGCCAAAAGGATGGATTTTACTTCCACCCCTTTTTCAGGGCTCCTCCTCCTCGTGGAGCTCCTCCAGCTGTCCCGGTGCCATCCCGCTGCCAGCCGGCACTGGAAACGTGGTTCCAATAGAAAGGCTGAGGTTTCCCTAATGCTTTCCATTTCTCCAGCCCCTTCTGCTGTAATAGGAGCTGGAGTTGTCCGGAAGAATGTCTACAATGCAAAAAAAAAAAGTGGAAAATTCCCTCCTCAAAGCCACAGCAGAATCTCATCTGGCTCCTTCCTCAGCATCCCCTGTGCTGGTTAATATTAATATTAATATTAATAATAATAATAATAATAATAATAATAATAATAACCAGTGTGCAACAGCTGTTGAAGGGATTTTGGGGTTGGGTTTTGGTTTGTCTGGGGCTGCAGCTCCTCCCAGGGAGCTCCTCTCTCAAGGAGAGGAGGGTTTGAAGAGCAAAGGTTTGGAAACACGAGGAGATGTTTAAATTTATCCTGGTGGCTGTGACAGCGCAAAATCCCAGGGCTGTGCTCTCCCAGGCCTGGCACGGTGAGTTCTGGGGTTTCCAGTGCCTTTTCCATCAGATCCACACATCCCACAAATCTCTCGGGATCCCGTTCGCTCCCAGGGTCTCGCTCCCAATTTGGGATCCACGGGGGGAAATGGGTCCGACGTCGTTTCCACTCGATGGGAGCGCTGGCACAGGGGATGCTCTGGGTTTAAACAGCTCCAGGATCCTGCTGGGAGGAAGGATTTTCCCAATTTATCAAGAGAAATGGTATTTTGGTGGGATCCAGAGCCCGTGGTAAATTGGGAACGGGGCTGCCACGTGTTTTCCTTATGGGCTGAACAAAGCGTGGCCTCGAAGGGGAGGCTCGAGAGAAAGGGGAAGAAAAGGGGAAAAGGAAATAAAAGGAAAAGGAGGAAAAGCGGGGGGAGAAAAAAGAAAAAAAAAGGGAAAAAGAAAAAAAGGGGGAAAAGAAAAAAAGGGGGAAAAGGAAAAAGGAAAAAAGGGAGGAAGGAAAAAGGAGGGAGGAGAAAAAAGTAAAAGAGGGAAAAAAATAAAGGAGAAAAAAAAGGGAAAGGGGAAAAAGGAAAAAAGGGAGGGAAGGGAAAAAAGAATTAAAATGAAAAGGTGAAAATCAGGGAAAGAAGAGAAGGTAAAAAGGGAAAGAGGAAAAAAGAGAAAAAGGTCAAAAAGGGAAAAATAATAAAGGAAAAAAGGGGGAAGGGCAAAAAGGAAACAAAAATAAAAGAAGGGGAAAGAGGCTGAAGAGAAAAGGGGAAAAGGGAAAAGGGGGAAAAAGGAGAAAAAGGAGAAAAAAGGAAAAAATAAAAAAGGTGAAAAAAGGAAACAATAAAAAAGGGGGAAAAATTAAAAAATGGGGAAAAGGAAAAAAGGAGAAAAAGGAACAAAGGGGGAAAAGGAAAAAAAGGGTAGGAAAGGGGGAAAGGGGGAAAAGGGATTCCTGTTCCAGCAGCACCCGGATTTTGCTGTTCCCCTCCGGAATCGCCGGGCCCGGGCCCGGCTGCAGAAGTGGATGCAATGCATCTGTATTTTGGATACTGCTATTTATTGGAAGTAACTTATGTTATTTATTTAGATCCCAAAGCGCCGCCTCCCAAACGCCTCCCACGCTCGCTCCCTTTTTTATGTTATTTATTGACCCCGACGGTGCCAAGTGCAGTTTACATTTATTACATTTGTACCATTTATCCTGAACCTTGAGGGGGGGGGAAATAAAAGGAGATAAAATAAAAATTAAATAAAAAGCTGTTTGATATTATTTTTTTTAAACAAAGATGAATTTGGGTGTGATCTGTTCCATCCTCGTGGAAAAGTGGGAATAAAGTGAAGGATTTTTATGGATTTCTCCTCTGTCACAATGGTTGAGTGATGGTCAGTCCCCACCATGGGAATGGAGATGGCCAAGGAAAAGGGGAATTTGGGTTTTTGGAGGGAAAGACCCAGAAATAATCAGCTTTGGCGCTTCTGGAAAAGGAGCTTCCAACTGAGTTGGCTCAAAAATGTGAAAATTCTGAGGAAATCACATGAAATGGGAAAGGAAATGGGAAGTGGAAGGGAAAGGGAAAAAGAGAATAATCTCTGTCCTTTAACACCAGCAGTCCTAGCCCAGTCTGTCCAGAAAAACAGAATTTATTTGGATTTTCACTCCAAAATAGGCTCAAACCTGGCACCGGAAAACGGAGAACAATGGGAGGGGGGGAAGAAAAAAAAAGGATAAAAGGTTTATAGGATTTTTTTGGGGAATGGAAAAAAAGGTCTGTTTATATTCCCCCCTCATGCCACCCAGAGGCCTGACAGCCATGGCCGAGTCAAACATTCCCGCTCCGAGCTCCACTCTGTAAATATTTTAGGAAGAATCTTTGGAGAGCCATAAATCTCCCCCGTGCGCGTGCACGGCGCGTGAGCGCTCCAGAAAAACCAAGGAAAACCCAAATCCCGCTGCCAGCCCGTCCAGAATCAAATCAATAAACATAAAAAATGGAGAAATTAAAGGTTAATGATCCAGTGGGAGAGAGAGGGCCGCTTGGAAAATCTGACTCCTCCAAAAGCACAAAAAAAAAAAAAAAAAGAATATAAAAAAGAAATTCAGGAGGAAAACAGCAGTCATGGAGGGGGGAAAATGTGAAGTTGGGAAGTGCTGGGATCAGGGATGGTTTTGGGTGTAATTCCTGGGAAATGAGGTGTGTGTTGTCAACTTCCATGGTGTAAGTGGCAAGTTTTATATTATATATATTATATATGTTATTACAACGTGCCACGGGCGTTCCCTTCTCTCCCCGTTGGTGACCTCATCGAATATTTCAAAGCAGCTCATCTGTGCTAATGGAGCAGCCAGAGATTCTCTGGCAGGGCCTCCCCAGCCTCGCAGGGAAGGATTTTTCCCCATATCCCACCCCAAACTCCTCCCAGGACAGGTGAAGAGGCCTCGAGCACCACGGGGGGACAGGGACGGGTTGGTTCTCTGCCGTGGCCACAGTGGATGGATCCTGCACTGATGCAGACCAAATTTGTGTGTAATTACCAGGCTTAATTAGCTCCAGCTGTAAGCACGGAGGGTTGGTCTGGAGTTAAAGTCACAGAGGGAACTTTGGGACAGGTTTGAGTGGTTTGGATGGGCGAGAAATGCAAATTCCAACGCGGCGTGGAAGATCTTGCACTCCAGGCCCTCGGTGTTTCCTGGGGGTCACCCCTGTCCAGGTGTCTCTCAAGCACTCATTTCCTTGGGAACACTCATTTTTTGGGAACAAAAAACACCCCACGGCCTGAGGGATGGGGTTGTAACTCATGGTTTGCTCACCCTGAGCGGATCTGACCATCCTGAGGTCTCACCTGGCCATGAGAAGGAACCAGAGGTTCAACACTCAGCCTAAAAATCCCATCCTTGAGAAACTTCCTGCCCTTTCCCCACTACAAATGGCCTAAAAATCTGAGTTTCCAGCCCCAGGGGAAGCCTCAAGTGGCAGAACCCTGGAGCAGCAGAGAAGAAACCTCAGGCAGGTAGAAAATTCAAGATTTTGTACCCCTAAAACCAGGACCACGAGGAGCTCGCGCTCAGCAGAGATAATTAATTGTGTTAATTAACACAAATGAAACAGCCGAGCAAGCGCGGGGAAGTGGAGGAAAGCTGTCCCAGAGCTGTGGGGTGAGGATTGCTCCTCAGAGACGTGAGGGGAGGGATGGCTCAGGGCTGGGGGCGAGGCTGGGGCAGGCAGAGCACAAAGAGCCCTCGGGGCCATGGACCTGGCAGGGTGGCACGGGAGTTTTTGTTTTCTGAGGAACGCTCTCACTAATCCCCACGGCTGAGGACAAGCAGCGCTGTGTGTTGGAGGAGCTTCCTGGTTCCTGCCCTTCCCGACCCCGCGGGCTCGGAGGCTGAGCTCTCCCGCGAGGTGAGCTCGGGGAGGAGCGAGGGGTGAGCTCGCAGAGTTCAGAGAAATCACGGAAATCAGAGAAATCAGAGAAATCACAGAAATCAGAGAAATCAGAGAAATCAGAGAAATCACAGAAACCACAGAAATCAGAGAAATCAGAGAAATCAGAGAAATCACAGAAATCAGAGAAATCAGAGAAATCAGAGAAATCAGAGAAATCACGGGAATAACGGAATTCACAGAAATCAAAGAAATCACAGGGTTCGCAGAATTCACAGAAATCAGAGAAATCACAGAAATTAGAGAAATCAGAGAAATCACAGAAATTAGAGAAATCAGAGAAATCACAGAAATTAGAGAAATCAGAGAAATCACGGGAATAACGGAATTCACAGAAATCAAAGAAATCACAGGGTTCGCAGAATTCACAGAAATCAGAGAACTTAATCACAGAAATCACAGAAATCACAGAAATCAAAGAAATCACTGAAATCACAGGAATAAGGGAATTCACAGAAATCACATAAATCACCGATTTAGCAGAATTCACAGAAATCACAGAACCCACAGAATTCACAGAAATCACTGAAATCACAGATTTAGCAGAATTCACAGAAATAACAGAAAGCAAAGAAATCACAGGGTTCGCAAAAATCACGGGAATAATAGAAATCACAGAAATCACAAAAAACACAGAAATCACAGAAATCAAAGAAGTCACAGAAATCACGGGAATAACGGAATTCACAGAAATCACAGAAATCACCGATTTAGCAGAATTCACAAAAATCACAGAATTCACCTAATGACGAGGTGGGGATTGGTCACAGGTTGGGCTCGGTGACCCTGGAGGCTTTTTCCAACCTCAGGGATTCTGGGATTCTCTGAGCAGCTGGACACGTGAGACACAGGAGGTCCCCAACCCACAGTGATGGATCTGCAAACACCCTGGATTCATGGACTTTGACTCCTTGTTGTCCCTGGAGTGACCCAGCCTGGCTCCCTCCTCCAGCCCTGGCTCCTGCAGCACCCAGGCTTTCTGCTGGGAACAGGCTCTGCCCTGCTGGGCCCCCCCTGGGCCATCAGGTGCTCTTTGAAGGGCATTGTTTGCCACTGGCAGATGGGAATGGGAATGTTTCACAGCCTTGTTCTGGTTCTGTTCCTTTCTCCACTGCATGTGGAGCATGGCAAGAAAATCCATAGCCCAGGACTCCCATAAACCCACAGCCCAGGGCTCCCATAAATCCATAACCCAGGGATCCTGAAAATCCACAGCTCAGGGCTCCTGAAAATCCATAACCCAGGGATCCTGAAAATCCACAGCTCAGGGCTCCTGAAAATCCATAACCCAGGGATCCTGAAAATCCATAACCCAGGGATCCTGAAAATCCATAACCCAGGGCTCCCATAAATCCATAGCCCAGGGCTCCTGAAAATCCATAACCCAGGGCTCCTGAAAATCCATAACCCAGGGCTCCCATAAATCCATAACCCAGGGATCCTGAAAATCCATAACCCAGGGATCCTGAAAATCCATAACCCAGGGATCCTGAAAATTCATAGCCCAGGGCTCCTGAAAATCCATAACTCAGGGATCCTGAAAATCTACAGCTCAGGGCTCCTGAATCCATAACCCAGGGCTAGGATTGATCTCATCACCCTGTCCCAGGAAAAGAGAAACTCCAAAGGAGCAGGAACACAGCTCAGCCCCAGAGATCTCTCTGCTGGTATCAAGGATTTCAATGTTTGCACTAAAATTAACTGGAAGAGTTCCTCCAACTCCTTTAAAAAGCTTCTGCTGGGTCTGCCCGGGAATAATTGAATAATTCTCCTTTTCCCTGCCCCAATCGCTCCGGGGAGGGCAAAGCAGTGGGAGGAATGCAGAATTCCTTTGTGAAGACTCACCAGGGAGCTCTGCCTGGACACTCACAGCTGTGCTCTCCCTGCTCAGGCTCCTCAGAATGTTTTGCTGAGGCTTTCCAAGAGCAAAGATGTTTTGGGAGATGATCACCGATAGGCAGATCCAGT